GCGAGTTGGTCACGGGCGAGATGAACATGAGGTCAGGGTACACCCCTTTGGATCCCCTGAATTTTGTGGGATTGGGAGTAAGCTTGGTTGATGAACAGGGGGTGTCCCATCTTCAGAATATTTTATTATTATTATTTTTGTTGCTTTATAATAATAAAAAACCAGGGGCTCAGAAGGCGAATGCGTCACAATGCGCCACACCTCCCCAAGTCCTTTGTGGGAAACTGCCACCACTACCAAACCCAGTTTAGAAGCTTCATGGTTCCGATTCTATGGGTTCACTTCACCTGGCTAAGTTGTGCCGATTGCCGTAGCTCAACCAGCGTGTGCAAGCTCCATCGGGTGTTCCTCCGAAAGGAGATGAGCTTCTCTGCATCCATGTTGACTAGAGAACATCTTTCTAGAGACCGAAAGGTCTCTGAAAAGCAACCGAGCAACCGGTGATCTTTAAAACCACCGGAAGGGGACACAGGGAGGGAGATCTCCCGAAGCAAGCGACTCATGGTCCATGACCTTTTCCCTGTTGTCCAGTGACTTGGCCCAAGAAAAGGAACCCTGTGGGTGGACCATGTTTATCGGGAAGCCCGCCAAACAAACATGGAAAGGGTTCCCCTGAACAACTTGACCTGGGAATGTCCCTCTAAGCAAATGTGCGCCTTTTGCCACGCTGTTTTCTTCTGGGATCTGGGTTCGATTCCAACCGTCCAAGCCATGAATGAGATCCCTACAGCTGGTTGGCTTCTGAGGCATTTCCGTGTGAACAGAATCTGGAGAGAGTTTCTGTTGGTCCCCATGGATTGCAGGGCGCAACTCAAACAGCAGCCGGCTAAAACGGGTTCACCCAGTGTAATGTACCCACGGCAACACTCACCACTAAAACCTGGGTCATGGTCAGTCGCTGCAACTAGCAAGCAAAGAAAACAACCACTGCAACTCGTGGAACGGTCAGGGCTTTCAGGACAGCCTACTTGTGAAGCATGCGTGTATATAAATATATGTTTTCTTTTTTTACATATACATGAGCCACTGTCAATATCTCTATTTCACCAAGAACTCACGGGACATTGGTGAGACCCTGATAGTTGTGAGTTTTTCGTATGTTCAATCCATCTCCCTCCCACATGCACCCATAGGACTAGTTATTTTGACCGAACCGTATATGACAACCTTGTTCTTGCTAGGTCCTCCAGTAGAGAGGTCAGAATAAGGGTACCCTTTTTCTGTAGTTTATTTTTAGTAGGGGAGCCCTCCCCCAAAAAGGGTAAACGGGCACTACTGGGGGACCTAGCTTGTTAGCCTTTATGAGCCCAAAAGACAGGGAACTCGTTTGTCTCCAGGCCACACCGTAGGAAACCATTGCGGTCTCCACGCGCCTCGTTGGGTGCCTTGGCCTGGGAGATGGCCTCCAGGGAATGCCCAGGTTTCTTTGACCAACCAGAAAGGCAACACATAGAGGAAAGGGTCCCCTTGTCAAAGGACACCAACACATTCCTTTTGGTTAAAGGAGCAGCAAAAAAGGGGCTTGTTCCAGAATGTGTAGCAGAAGGGTTCCTGTTGCAGACCGGTGTGTTTGCCAAATGTTGGCATGTGTTTGCCAGATGCGTCGCTGTGTCTGCAAGTGCTCGCAAGCGCCTCTGCAAGCGTGCTGCGCCGTTGGGGAAGGGTCAGCATAACTTGTATAAGTTGCAAAGTGTTGCTTTCGTTGCACCTGCACGTGAATCGTAGTCTTTGCCACGTCGCATGTCGTTCCGCTGTGCAGGCGCAGTGCTTTGGAAACTTGTGTTGTTGTGCATTGCCGTGCCATTGCAATTTGCGTCCCCGGAGCGATGTTTGATGTGTTTTGCTTGGCCGGCGCGGGCGGGCGGTTGCGCGAGTGGTGAGCATTAAAGTATGTCAAAGTCGGTCTCAATCATTCTGGGGAGTACGTGTCGCTTACATGACAGGCAAGCTCACTTTTTTTGAGTTCGTGGTGCGTGACAGGCGCAGCACTTTCGAGCAGCTTAATTCAATTGTGTGGCAGGCACAGTATTTTGTGTGGTCCCGCGCTGAATTCCGTGGCAGGCACAGCACTTTGGAGCATGTTCTGCCAGGGCACTGATTTGCGTGGCAGGCGCAATACTTTGGAGGGTCACATGCTGATTTGTCAGGCGAAGCATTTTGGAGCACGCCGCATTTGGGGCACGACTTGCAGTCGTATTGATGTTCGTGGCAGGCGCAGTACTTTGGAGGGCAGATAGAGAGGAGGATGGATAATGCAAACAGATAGACAAGCAGATGGGTTGAAGCAAAGATAGCTGCAAATATACTTGTGCAGAAAGATACGAGATACGGGGTGGTTGATGTGGTCTATTGGATAGATAACTAGATGTGAGCGGAAAGATGAGGAGATAGGTAGATCGCGAGCTAGCTGTGAAGATAGCTGAGCAAATCGGCTGAAAGAAAGACATATATAAATACATAAAGGAAGGAGATTAAGGAAGGACCTAAATAACTCATTGCAAAAAAACAAAATGGTGAAACATAAGAAAATACACAGGAACAAGATAAAAAAGGAAAAATACAGACCTGCATAAAGGAACCATCAAGAACGACAAAACAGACAGACGGACAGACAGAAATACAGAAAGAAAGACAAACAACAGAAGGATAGAAAGAAACATGCAATTGAATTTAAGAACAAACGGACGATAAACAAAAACAGAAAGCAATACACCCATAAATCAATATATATATATATACACAAGTATAAACGAAGAGCAAACATGGACAGATCGGCACATAGACTGACAACAACTCGATAGATGGATGGCTGGATGGATGCGTGGATGAGTGGACGGACGCCTGGATGGATAGACAAATAATTCATATAATGGACACACGGGTGGATAGATGACAGGTAGACGGGCAAAGATGTACTTACACACAGACACATGGATACATTGGTAGCTGGATAGATGGACAAATCAATGGTAAATAGGCAGTCAAATGGATAGGCAAAGGTATACACAAATAGACATGCTGCGGCATTCAATCCGTCCGGGTTCGTGGCTTCTATCATGCCTTTCGAGGCAAACGCCGACACAAGGATCCATTGCGAGGACCGCGCTGGAAAGTCAAGCGGAGCTCCCAGACTCAGAGCCAACCTGACGGTGGGTGACGGCAAGGCCCAACGCAACACCCCGGTGAAAGGCGAAGCCTTTCACCTCGCCCGCGCGGAAGCATGTCACTAGCACCGTGCACTGGCTTGTCATGCATCCACTCAACAGCCTGCAAGAAAGGCGCCCGTCCATAGGGAAACCAGCAGAACAGGGGCCGACCCATACGCAATGGTAGGTTTGAGTGAGCTTGTGTCAATTACCCCCAGACTAGATCGCCATGATTAGGTGATGGAGCTTGCAACTACTGTTCACACTGTTCGCGAGCCAGCGACTCACGCTGCGCGAAGATTAGAAAGTGGCGTGTGCACGGCATTTCTGCACTGCGGAGCCTGAAACACCCCAAAGGTAAATATCAACTCGTGACCTTGATGGGAACTCAGGCGAAATCGCGGCCCCAAAACGGGCCCCCAACAAAGGCCACACCGAAAGTCGCCTTGCGTCTGCTGTGAATTGTTCGACAAGTCGCAAACACACACCCGGTGCCCCTCTCTGGCTGAAAATTAAGGCGCCCCAGAAAAACATGAACCCTCTCTTGGAAAGGGGGGGATTCGGATGCTACGTAGTCCATTGGCGCCAGCGATCGGAGCCCGTGTCAATCAGACTTCGTCAGAACGGGTCGAGCTTCTTGCCTGCCAGTGCTCCGCCACATCGTTGGCGCAGCCCCGCACGTCTAGGAACCAGCAGGCCCTCGAAACGCCCAACTTCCGTTGAAGCCCTGCATGTTCAGTATGGGGTTCGGGTTAGTTCTATACCACTTATATTCAAAAAGTTGCTAGACTACCTTAAAGCTGACATAGTTATATAAACTGGCGGTAGCTTCTGTAAATGGGCAAGGCGGCACTAGTTTCCCAGAATAGGGGGTCAAACACGTTGCATGGCTGCCTGGCTGGCACGGGCGTCGCTGGCTCCCCTGTCGACACACACATGTTTCTAAAACATTTTGTCATGTCATGGCGACAAAGCAAAGAACTCATGGCGTGTTCCGACCCTTGCACATAATCGGCCAACCTTTTCACCTCCATACCCGTTGGTTTATGACTGCCCAAAAGAGATGCCGGCCGAACAAAGCCCCTGTCGAATGAGTGAGTGTGATAAATCGATAAATTGGGGGCAGCCACAGGTCTGAGGCAAATTTAGCTATCGAGGCTCATTTCCAGATGCGAAGCACCTGGCTAGCTAGCGAAAATGGAACCAACCTAATAGTCCCTCTACAGAGAAAATCATCTTCCAGGACCCAGTCAAAGGAAAACCACCTTGAGGCGCAAACCCCTGTCGTCTGTGAGACAATGTGTTTGGTGGCAGACCTGCAGTCTCACTCTGTTCCTACTTCACGGGCACCAAATGCGGGTACGCCAGCCAAAAATTACAAATGCCCGGATCAGCAACTCACCGTGAATAATAACAACCCAGAGGCTCGTGGGCCCTCCTAGGGAGGGTCCGGGGCCCTCCTGGGGAGGGACCGGCCTGTTTGTCGGATACGGGGCCCTCGTGGGCCCCCAGTGCAATCCGGACGGGATGGATGGAACCAAAATGGCCTCCAATCACACCTCCCCTAGCATTACTATCCGACGGTTATCCGACGGTTATCCGACGCCGGGCCCTCGTAGACACTCAGTTTTGGGGGGCCCCGGCCCAATTATCCGACGGTTATCCGACGGCTATCCGACGGCCATCCGACGGTTATCCGACGGCTATCCGACGGCCATCCGACGGTTATCCGACGGTTCTCCGATGGTAATCCGAAGCTTGTTTGCAGCCCAAAGGCCCCCAACAAAAAAAGCCCAAAAACGAGGGCCCAAGGGCCCGAAACGTTGGGACCTCTGTGTGTGGCTATGCTGCCAC